AGACTAGCCTGCCCAACATGGCAAAACTCCATCTCTACTAAAAATACAAAAAATTAGCTGGGCATGGTTGTGGCAGGCACCTGTAATCCCAGCTACTTGGGAGGCTGAGGCAGGAGAATCGGTTGAACCTGGAAGGTGGAGGTTGCAGTGAGCCGAGATCCTGCCATTATACTCCAGCCTGGGTGACAGGAGCAAAACTCCATCTCAAAAACAAAACAAAACAAAACAAAACAAAAACATATACACACACACACACACACACACACACACACATATATCTCCTCCTTTAATTTAAATATATATATGTGTGTGTGTATATATATATGTATGTATCTCCTCCTTTAATCCTTAAAACAGCCAATTAAAGGAAGCATTAAATGGACATTTACAGATGAGGAAACTCATGCTCAGAGAAGTTAATTTGCCTAAGTTTCCCACTTGTCAGTTATGAAGCCAGTCTGGCGTTCTTCGTCTTTCATTCCACTGTTTCCCCCAGCTTGGGCTAGAAGCAGAGTTAATTCAGACTCTCTTGAATGGCTCATTCAGCGCTTTCGTAAAGTGATTAAAACCAGTGGTCACTAACCAAGTCCAGTGGGCCTCATTCCTGTTTTAATTCCTTTAATGGCTCCCCACTGGTTTCTGGGATAAAATTCAAATTTACTAACATGATTTACAAGGCCCATAATGACTTGGCTCCAGTATACCTTTCTAGCTTACCTACTACCAAGTCCTTGCACATATGTTCTGCTTGAGCCATATCTGCCTACTGGAGTGTGCCATGCTGTCCCTAACTTTCTGCACCACTTCACAAACCTCTTCGGGACCCAGGTGGTTAGAATCTTTTCCTTGAGGTCCTCAGGCTCAAATGGATGCCTTCACATTCTCTTACCATTGTGGAATATTTTGTGCATATCCTTACGACATTCACTATATTGTTAATTATTGATTTTCTTTTGTTTCTCCTATTTGGTGGTAACTGATTTAAGGGCAGGATTGTGTCCTTTTTATCTAAGAACCGGTAGTCATTGCCTGATACTTCATAGACAATAAATGAATGCTGATGGCATGACTGAAAATCGAGGGCTTCAGCAGCATTTGGGAATAGTTCTACCATCTCCTTGGGTAAGGTACACAGCAGGGTAGTGAGACGTGCGAAGCTGGAAGAAATGCTTACATTTTGAAGCAGTATCTGTTAAATCCCATTTGCAGTACAAGCTAGCTTAGGAAACCAAGTTACATCAAGTATAGTTATAAACTTCCTGTGACCGGAGAGAGAATCATCATTGAAGGAAGGAGAGCAGCCAGCCGTTAAAGGACTGGAAAACTCCTGAAGTGCAGAGGGCCTACATTAGTATGAGCAACATTTCTGGGGGTGGAGAATATACACTGAATATTACCATTCAAAAATATTGAGACAAAGCATGGCAACTATTTAATGGGATCGTTCTGATCACCAGCATAATTTCAGATTAAGCATAATATCAAACTTTCAAAATCAGTGACTGTCCGAAGGATCAATGCTTATTTTCCACTCAGTCATATCTTGATAAAGGATCAGAACGAATGCAGAGAAAGGGATTTCAGGAGGTAATTAGAATACAAATAGTCCCCACTTACTGAGTGGAGTATGGACTGTGCCAGTATTTCTTTCAGTAAGTTACAACAGCTCCCTGAGATGGGTATCATTATGTAGATGGTACTGAAAATGGGACCAAATCTCAGACAAGTTTAGCAAGTTGCCCAAACTCTTACAGCTCAAATGTGGTAGAGCTGAACTTTAAACTGAGGTCTGATATTTTTAAAAGAATTTATTTCAATAGCTTTAAGGGTACAAGTGGTTTTTCATTACCTGGATGAATTGTATAGTGGTGAAGCCTGAGATTGTGGTGCACCCATCACCCAAGTGCTGCACACTGTACTCAATAAGTAGTTTTTTTGGTCCCTCATCCCCCTCCTACCGTCTCTTCTTCTGAGTTTCCATTCTTCATCATATCATGTCTGATTTTAAAACATTTGCTCTTTGTGAAGATTTAGTTTGCCTTTAAATAATCTGTGGTCAGGCTTTACATTTTGAATAATGTTTTTTTTCCTCCCTTACTTTGCTCTGAATAAAAATGAATTCAGGTACTCAAATTATAATGTTGTAAGGGAAGAGAATACTAGGATCACATAAATTCTTCAAAATCAATAGCTGAATAATTTGCAAATAGTGATCTTTTGTAAAACCATGTCTGAATGAGTATATATTTCTGTATATCAGTATGAGAAAATCTAGTTTGGGTAAGTATGTCTCTCATGCCAATATCTATAGTCTTATTTTGGGTGGTTGTATGTTTTTCTATGGAAGGTTTAGGATTTTAAAACCAGAACCTCTTAAAATTAAAAAATATTTAATAAGCACAATAAGTATCATAATAGTTTACATAGGGATTGTAGGGGAAGCGTATAAAGGGGGAAAATGAGGCAAAGGAAATCAGTAACTGAAAGTAAGGTCTAGCTCTCCAAGTGCTCAGTTGTTTGAAAAACTCCTGCCAACCGGCAGACACAGCCTGGCTTTGAAATTGGATGCATTGCCAACTGTGCCCACTACACACATTCATCTCTGGCTTGGCTTTTTCACTTTGCAAGGAAGGTAGCTGACATCTGCTGAGCAGGGCAAATCATGCAAAACAGGTTTCTCCACAGGGCTTTGCTTCTTGACTAGGACAGAACCCAGGCTGATGCTAAAGGCTTACTCCCTCTTTTGAAATAAATCCCCAAAAGAAAGTGCAACTGAAGCAGGCTTGTAAGGAGAGAAATGCAAATGTTGGCACAGAAAATCAGTTGCTTAGGAAATAATTAGTGCAAACCTGTGCATATTTTTAAACATTGGTTATAAAATATATTTGGATATCATCATCATCAATTGTACTGATGGATGCAACTATAGTTTTTTTTTTTTTTTTTTTTTTTTTTACTTTGAATAGGAATCATAAACACATAGCCTGACATAACTATGAACTCTAGTTTTAGATGACCTGATTAAGGAAATCCCAGAACATTGCCACAACTTCATTACTGGTTGCAATGAAATTATATACAGTAGATGCTCTCTCAACCAATCTCCACTTAACCAATTTACTGAATTAATTGTGGCTGTTCATCCTCCATCATAAAATGTACAGACCAATGCCATGGCATGCTCCAGAGCAATACGTTTCTTTATCTAGCCCCTCTGCACTTCTGCTCCTGCTCCTGCTTGAGTTGTAAACTTTGAAATTTAGAGGCAATTATGTTTATTCCTAAACCTGTTTATGCCAGCTGTACTTGTTATTTTAACTATGTAATTTAATTAATCTTATATAATCTATGAAATATGAATGTACTTGTTCTATGAAAATAAAATCCAACGGTTGGGAAAGATTCAATAAGGGTTTGTTAGGCAAAAATCTATGGCCAGGTGCAGTGGCTCACACGTGAAATCCCAGCACTTTGGGAGGCCGAGGTGGGCAGATCAATTGAGGTCAGGAGTTTGAGACCAGCCTGGTCAACATGGCAAAACTCCATCTCCACTAAAAATATAACAATTAGCCAGGAAAGGTGATGCATGCCAGTAATTCCAGCTACTCAGGAGGCTGAGGCACATGAATTGCTTGAACCTGGGAGGTGGAGGTTGCAGTGAGCAGAGTTGGCGCCACTGCACTCCATGGCACACTCCAGCCTGGGTGTGCCACACAAAACAAACACAAAACAGACAGACAAACAAACATAAAATCTACTGTTAATTACCTAGCAGAAAAACTCTAAAACACTGGGGAAGACCAAAATCTAGGTGGAGCAGGCATTCAGATTGCTATAAATTCTTTAAAGTCTCACTGCATTAAAAACCAAACCAAACCAAAATAAAACTGGAAGTCATAAAATATATATTGTGGATATGGTTTAGGCAAACAAACAAAAAGACTTGTAACTATAATCAGCAGAACCATGTTCATAGGAAAGGCCTTGACTTTACCCACAAGATTGGCAAAATTGTAAATGAAATGTTTACTTAATAGATCCATATCACATTCTGTAATTCCCCACATTATCTGACTCTTTTGATGAATGGACACTTTTCAATTGGCTCTATATTCTTATCATAATCAGATAGGATGTCTCGTATTTCAGGGCAACCCGAAGTGTGCTCCTTGTACCACAGCTGTGGCAGCATCTGGATGTTTATTAGGAATTCAGAATCTCAGGTCCCACCTGGGGTGGTGCCCAGGATCTGTGTTTTAACAAATTCTTCAGATGAGTCTATGCCCTCCTAAGTTTCACTGGAGGGCCTAAAAAATGTATATAGCCCTTTTGAAAAGCAACGTGAGGCATGACTGACTCATCAGGAATCATAGACATTTCCTTTGTATTCTTACTCAGCCATCCTGCTTCTAGGAATATTTTCTCAGGAAATAATTCAAAAGAAAAAAAAAAGTTGAAAAGCTGAATAAAGATATCTAGGTATAAAGATGTCTATAAGAGTACTATTTACAATAATGAAACAGTTGGAAGCAATATAGTGATTTAAGAAGAGAAGAAAGGTAAATCACAGGCAGTCAATAAAAATGATAGATATTCAGAGTTTATAAAATGATCAAATGTTTATAATGTAAAATTAGGTAAAAAATGCAACATCCACTTGTTTATAGTTATGCCATAGGAATATCAACAAAAACTAGAAAACCACCAGTTTCACTGTATTAGTGTGGGATTAGACGATGATTTAGATATCATCTTTAAAAATTATTTCATGCAATTATAATGTTTTCTATAATGAAATTACCTTAATGATATCATTTACAAGCATCATTATTTAAAATTCGTACTACACTCTCAACACAAAATTTAAAGACTCTTCTAGCTGTGAAACACTGTTGCCACGTCACTAGCCAGCTGTTGTATGTAAAATATCAAGATCTAATATCTCTGGTGACAGATGGGCATTTCAAAAAATCAGTTTTAACTAAGGATGCTCTCAATACCTGAATTATCTTCATCTTTGCGGATTTTGAGCTTCACCAGGTCTTCACATTGCTGGAGGATCTGAACTGCATCTTCCATGGAACAGTTGTCCAGCCGGATATTATCTATTGCGAGCAATTTATCCCCAAGTTCCAGGGTCCCAGTTCTGTTAGTGAATGCATAGTAACACATGACTAATGATGAACACTTAACTAGGCCATTTAAAGAGGCATTAAGCATAATGTAGCACTGTGGTAGTCTTTAGAGGAAAAGAGGTTCAACTGTTTTTAAATTGTACTTTATTGACAACTCCCTCCCTTCTTCTAGTCTTATTTGGGTTGCCTGCCATGACATTAAATTGCAGAGTATTAAAACCATTTTTTCTTATACTTTTTTCAATTAAACAAGGAGACATATAAGTGTCACTCAGGAAGCATATAATTCCTAGGAAGGGAGGTGATGGGCGAGGGTCTGCATAGACCCGGGTATCCTTGTGTTTCTCCATATTGTTGTATTACTTTTGATCCTTGGTAGTCCAGTTATTAGGAGAGCGCTGAGAGAATGAGAGAAGGCAAGGTGTAATAGAGTTAGTGGAAGCCTAAGGCTTGAATCTCTGCTATTTCCACTTGCATCTGGAAACTTACTATTGCTGGAGTAGCAAGAAAATTTATAGATGAATCCATAGCTTATTTGGAAAGTGGCCACTGGGACTCTAAAACTGGCTGTGGACCAGGGTAGGTCTGTTGAAAACTTTTAAGGTCCATAATGAAATGAAAAAAATAATGTGAATGTAGTATGTATATGTTTCTATGTGCATATATGTATATATACACAGATTTGTAAGAATAGCCTTTTATGCATTATGTCTGTGCCAGAGACTGCTAATTGTTTCCCAGCATCCATTCTCTTTTCCCTTCTTTTAAGTTACCCTCTAAAAATGCATGCCCCAGACTCTCTGGGGACCCTCCCCACCTCCTGCCTATAGCTAGAAAATGGTAGCAGGAGGGAGGCAGAGCAAGATGGCTGAATAGAAGCCTCCACTAACTGTCCTCCTTGCAGGAACACCAAATTTAACAACTATCCATATAGAAAAGCACCTTTATAAGAACCAAAAATCAGGTGAGCAATCACAGTACCTGGTTTTAACTTCATATCATTGAAAGAGGCACTGAAGAGGGTAGGAAAGAAGGTCTTGAATTGATGATGCCAGCCCCTCCCCCACCCCTTCTGCAGCAGCCACATGGCATGGAGAGAAAAACTGTGCACTTGTGGGAGGGAGAACACAGTGATGGAGAGACTGCATTGAAACTCAGTGCTACCCTGTCACAGCGGAAAGCAACACTGGGCAGAAGTCAGCTGATATCCACGGAGAGAACATTTAGATCAGCCCTAGGCACAGGGGAATCACCCATTCCAGTGGTCAGAACTTGAGTTACAGCACGCCTCACTGCTGCACGCTAAAGTGTTCTCGGGTACTAAATAAACTCAAAAGACAGTTTAAAGCCACAAGGACTGCAATTCCTGGACAAGTCCTGATGCTGTGCTGAGCTCAGAGCCAGTAGACTTGGGGGGCATGTGACCTAATGAGAAACTAGCTGGGGTGGCTAAGTGAGTGCTTGCAACACCCCTCCCCTAGCCCTACACAGTATAGCTCACAACTCCTGGAGAAATCTTCACTCTACCTGAGTAGAGGAGAGGGGAGACTAAAGAAGACTTTGTCTTGCAACTTTGATATCAGCTCAGCCATAGTATGACAGGGCACCTGGCAGAGTCCTAAGGCCCCTTTTCCAGGCCTTAGCTCCCAGACAACATTTCTAGACACACCCAGGGCCAGAAGGGAACCTGCTGCCTTGAAGGGAAGGACCCAGTCCTGGCAACATTTATCACCTCCTGACTAAATATCCCTTGGGCCCTGAATAATCAGCAGCATGGCTGGGTGCAGTGGCTCATGCCTGCAATCCCAGCACTTTGGGAGGCCAAGGTGGGTGGATCACTTGAGACCAGAAGTTCAAGACCAGCCTGGCCAACATGGTGAAACCCCATCTCTACAAAAAATACAAAAATTAGCCAGGCGTGGTGGCACACACCTGTAACCCCAGCTATTCGGGAGGCTGAGGTAGGGGAATCACTTGAGCCTGGGAGGTGGAGGTTGCAGTGAGCTGAGATCACACCACTGCACTCCAGCCTAGGCAACAGAATGAAACTCTGTCTCAAAAAATAAATAAAATCAAATATTATAAAAAAATAAAATCAGCAGCAGTAGCCAGGTAGTACTTGCTGTGGGCCTTAGGTGAGACTGAGTTGTGCTGGCTTTAGGTGTGACCCAGCACATTCCCAGCTGTGGTGGCTATGGGGAGGCTGTTTCTGCTTGAGAAAAGCAAAGGAAACAGTAAAAAGGACTTGCAGCTTAGGCACCAGCTCTGCAACAGTGGGGTAGAGTACCAAGTGGGCTCTTGGGGTCCCTGATTCTAGGCCTTAGCTCTTGGATGTTTGTGGACCTGCTCTGGGATAGAAGGGAGCCCACTGCCTTGAAAGAAGAGTCCCAGCCCTGGCAGCATTTGCCACAAGCTGACTAAAGAGCCTTTGGGCCTTGAGTGAACATCGGCAATAGTCAGGCAGTACTTGCCATGGGCCTGGAGCAGTGGTGGCCATGGGGAGGGACTTCTTTCCTTGTAGAAAGGATGGGAAAGACTTCGTCTTGTGGCTTGGGTGCCAGCTCAGCTATAGTAGAATAGAGCACCAGGTAGATTCCTAAGGTTTTGGTCTCCAGGACCAGGCTCCTGGATGGCATCTCTAGACCTGCAAGGGGCCAGGGGGGAGCTCACTGCCCTGAAAAGAAGGATACTATCCTGCCTGGCTTTGCCACCTGCTGATTATAGAGCCTTTGGTCCTTGAGTGAACATGGACTAGCAGTAGCCAGATAAGGGTTTACTGGCAGCCTTATTTGAGACCTAGTATCATATTGGCTTCAGGTCTGAACCAGCATTGTCCCAGTGGTGGTGACCACAGGGGTGCTTGTGTCACCCCCTCACCCCTCAGCTTCAGGTAGCTCAGCACAGAGAGAGAGACTGTATCTGTTTGGAAGAAAGGGAAGAGAACAAGAGTCTCTGCCTAGTAATCCAGATTCTTCTGGATCTTACCCAAGACCACCAATGCAGTATTTTTGAGTCTGTAAGAGCCATAGTGTTACTGGACTTGGGGCGCCCCCTAATGGAGATACAGGTGAAGTGACCAAAAACTTAGATCACAACACGCAAGTCCCTTCAAATACTTGGAAAGCCTTCCCAAGAAGGACAGGTACAAACAAGCCCAGACTGCAAAGACTATAATAAATACTTAACTCTTCAGTTCTCAGACACCAATGAACATTCACGAGCATCAAGACCATCCAGGAAAACATGACCTCACCAAGTGAACTAAATAAGGCACGAAAAACCAATCACAGAGAAATAGAGATATGTGGTCTTTCATACAGAGAATTCAAAATTACTGTTTTGAGGAAACAATGAAGTTTTGAGTCTGTGATAATACAGATAACAAATTCAGAATCCTATTAGATAAATTCAACAAAGAGATTGAAATAATTAAAAAAAAAATCCAGCAGAAATTCTGGAGTTGAAAAATGCAATTGACACATTAAAAAATTGCATCAGAGTCTCTTAACAACATAATTGATCAAGCAGAAGAAAGAATCAGTAAGCTTGAAGACAGGATATTTAAAAATACATAGCCAGAGAAGACAAAAGAAAAAAGAAAAAACAACAACAAAAAAAAAACACAAAAAACTGGGTCAGGCATGGTGGCTCACACCCATAATCCCAGCACTTTGGGAGGCCGAGGTAGGCAGATAACTTGAGGTCAGGAGTTTGAGACAAGCCTGGGCAACATGGCGAAACCCCGTCTCTACTAAAAGTACAAACACACACACACACACACACACACACAAAGCTGGTCATGGTGGTGTGTGGCTGTAATCCCAGCTACTTGGGAGGCTGAGGCAGGAGAATTGCTTGAACCCAGGAGGCAGAGGTTGCAGTGGGCCAAGATTGCGCCACTGCACTCCAGCCTGGGCATCAAAGTGAGACTCCATCTCAAAACAAACAAACAAACAAACAATGGCGCACACCTACAGGATCTAAAAAATAGCCTCAAAAGGCCAAATCTAAGAATTACAGGCCTTAAAGATGAAGTAGAGAGACAGACAGGGGTAGAAACTTTATTCAAAGGGATAATAACAGAGAACTTCCCAAACATAGAGAAAGATATCTATATTCAAGTACAAGAACCTTATAGACCACCTGTGGGAATTTCAGCAACTACAGATGCAAAATAACTGAAATCATAACAGTCTCTCAGACCACAGCACAATCAAATTAAACTCAAGGTTAAGAAATTCACTCTAAGCCAAGGTTTTATGGACAGAATTATGATCTTCTTGGGATGGAGCCCCTTGCAGGAGGGGGAGCCATGGTCTCTCTGGTTGTTGACTTAACCTTTCCTGCCTGCTGGCTCTGAAGAGTCTGGGCGGTCTGGATGAGGGTGGTTCCCCAAAGGACAGAGCACCTGCTCTGTCAAGGAGCAGGCAGACTGCTTCTTTAAGCAGGTTCCTGATACCGTTCCTCCTGACTGGGTGCGACCTCCCAACAGGGGTCTCCAGGTCACCAGATAGGCATCAGGTCAGTGCCCCTCTGGAACAGAGCTCTCAGAGGAAGGAGCAGGCTCCCGTCTTTGCTGTTTTGTAGCCTTCACTGGTGATACATCCAGGTGCAGGAGGGACCCAGGCTTGGGGTCTGGAGTGGACCCCCAGCAAACCACAACAGCACTACAGAAGGGGGGCCTGACTGTTAAAAGAAAAACAAATAAACAGAAAGCAACAACAGTAACATCATCAATAAAAAGACCCCACAAAAACTCCATTCACAGGTCAGCAACCTCAAAGATTGAAGGCAGATAAGCCCACAAAGATGAGAAAGAATCAACATAAAATTGCAGAAAACTCAAAATGCCAGGGTGCCTCTTCTCTTCCAAATAACTGCAATACTTCTTCAGCAAGGGCATAGAACTGGGCTGAAGCTGAGATGGCTGAATTGGCAGAAGTAGGCTTCAAAAGGTGGGTAATAATGAACTTCACTGAACTAAAGGAGCATACTCTAACACAATGCAAAT